AATTTTTTTAGGCAACTAGCCTATTGGAATAGTCGGTCACGCGCTTCGTAAAGGTAATCCAATTTACTGCATTATTTTAATTGGATTAAGTGGCACTGTTAAATCAATTCCGATACGGAATTTTCCACGATGGTTCCAGTACAAAAACTGTACGTGACTGTCAAAATTAATTAAGTACCAACATTGTAAGTCACTGTAAAAGGCTAATTTTCGAAACGAAAAGCCATTTTTGTTAATCGAAATAGAAGCTTCGATAACTACCTTATCCATTATAGTTACTAGTTTCACCGCAGTATACAAACTAGCACTGGGTGCAACTAGGAAGAGACTAGTGAAGGACTGGTCGGGCATCAAACCCGTTGGGAAATCCTAACAGGAAACCGAATTTGCATAGATCTTCCAATAAAGACAGGCTCATTAGAAACTTTGGGTTCCGTGATTATACACGGAAGATTTGTCTACCGTACATACTTCTCGTGAAAAAACATAGAATTTTTTTTACCGAAAGAGAAATAGATAATAGAGTTTTTACAATGATTCGATCAACCGAACAATACGATGGAATGGAACCCTAACTCTCACCATTATATTGCGCTTTCTTTCTGTAATTGCACTTTTAATTTGTTTAGGAAAAAGTAATAGCAAATTGATAAGGAAGTTACAATTTCTACAAAATTGACGTTCAAGTAAATGCGGTGTAGAGATAATTTAGAAAGATTCTTATTTGAATTCAATTAGCATCAATATTTGAACACCATAAAACCATAACTACTACATGAAAATGATAACAAAACATGTTGCATCATGCTCATGTTAATAACAGTTTGGTTGAGGCTGCAAGGCCGAATTCAAATTGTACGATCTCTTTCACATTCCTTAAAACGTGTAGCCATACAAAACTCATAAAGGCTTAGTACAAGGAAAGGCAGCAGAGGACAAATCCTTCAGAGAGAGCCGGCGGCATGCCAATACGGTGCAACGATCACGGATTCCATGCGTGCCCGCAATTTACAAACTGCGCGTCAAAACTGGACGGCCAGATTAAATTCTTTTTTTTTATATGTTCTTTTGCAGAACTTATTGATTCAAGTTGTCAACAACTTTTTTGAATTTAGAAAATTCTTTTGTTTCGCGAATTGAAACCTATTTTCTTTTTTTCTTGTCAAAACTTGAAATACTTTTTAGCCTCTATGCTACCGAACCAGTACACATAAATAGTGTTCAGCTTATTTTTTATTATCCAGTCATCCGAAACATGTTCAATGTTCATACGTAGTCGGACACCGGTCGATACTAATTTGTGGATGAAATAGTACCAGAGACTGTCGTAGAGTTTTCAATTTTAAGAATCCTGAGTGAAAAGGAAACAGAATTTCACGGCATTTATGTTTTTTTTTGTCAATGAAATAAGGTCTAAAAGGACACATTGAGAGATTCGAGCTGTGACGAGCCACATACGAAACTCCTTGGTTAATCCTGGTCACTAAGAAACTTTTTCACAGTCACATTGGATATGAAAAATGTACCCACTCATATTAATAAGTATGTAGGTATTCCACTGCAGGCCGGCGTGACCGACAGAACTGAAGAATGTTAATTGGCACTGAACTATTTTTTACATGACTACATGTGCAGGGAAGGTAGGCCAGTCATCAGATTATGACTTTTAGGGTTCCGTTGACAAAAGGCCAAAGTTTGTTTTTTTATATTTCAAAAAGTTCAGAGCGGTATGTGTAAGGTAGAGCATAATAATGAACATGAAAGAAAACTAAAAGATAGAAGAACGTCCACGATCCGATTGGTGGAAGAATGAATCATTATTACATAATTAATTACACATAAAATACAGCAATACAAGTTAAGAACACAATAAACTGACTATTAGGGCGATAGATAAGAGACTGGAACTTGCTAAGTGTGATAATTTAAATAAATTAAAGGGAAAGTTTTATTGGCCTCCGATAGTTCTGGCAAGCAGTCACGTCAAGAATCTTCAATGTTTATTAAAGAGAAATCAAAAACTGATCGAGTCAATATTGGTTGATCTCAAGTTGCAAGGCCTCTGTTATTTAAGTGCCTACTTCAAGTATATGAATCTTGTTGAAATAGTTATTCTTTGTTATAGTAATTTTACAAGATGAGTTGCAAAAATATCTTGACAGAAGCGAATACACCTTCAACAACCACTTGTCTCTATTATGTTCCAAGTACTCTTAATAATGTTCTAATAAATAATTTTACCAATCGATCAACATGGAAAGCATTAGGGGAGGCCTATGTTCAGCAGTGGATGTCCTATGGCTGAAATGATGAAGATGATGATGAAATAATTTTAGGGTACCGCATCAGTTTTTATTTTTTTCGCATGTTAGGTGGTAAGGACGTGCAGCAATGACAAAGAGCTGGAAGAATCCTACATAATAACATTTTGCGAAATTAGTTCTACATGAACCAACCTAGAACGTAGAATACCTGCATTTTTAGTGAGTGAATTATTCATCCATCACAAAATAAAAATTTGTAGCGTATTACTTTCTAGTTTTAATTTCCTACTTTACCTAATACCAGAAATAAAAATGATGTATTGTTATATTAAAGTTACGATAACGACTTTATTAAATGGTGCGTCAGCCTTCATACGTATTTGATTTGGTCATTAATCGGCTGAGGATGCTTAATGGTACCACGTGGGGCCGATGGATGAGTTATGTGTGAAATGATGTTGCTTTGGTGAGGGTAAAATGCTCTTTCAGATTTCAGAATAGAACTATTAGGTACTTGAGATTTGGAAAGAGATGATGATCAGGGGGAGATGGAGGTAGAAGGATGGAGGAGGAGCATGAAGGAGGATAAAGAGGCTGACAAAGGTGACCACTTCTTCACAGCACCAGCTCATATGTGGAAGGGGATGTGTATTGTAACTATGACTCAGTTTCTTTGAAAAAGCTTAAATGATACAGGACTCTAGTTTTGACAGCATATGAAGAGTAAAGTAAGTATGTATTGGTGGTGTCAGCAACCTAATTAATATGAAGCCGTGTAGTCACTATTTTAAATTAAATTAAATATTAACACAGTTCGATGCCGGAAGGTTGTTTTTGCGTTCAAAATATTGCCTGCGATAATTTTAATTATAAAAATAACTTAAAAAGTTGCGTTATATCACTCCACCCAGGTGTGTGTGACATAACACTTTTTTGCGCCTTCAATTTATAAGGAAACGCGGGGGTAAAAAGCGGTCCTGGTCAATACCGGACCATAACTTGTGATTAGAAAGCTCGCTAAGCATACCCACTGTGGTAGTAATTAGTAGTTATCGGAATTATTCGAAGACCTTTAAATCCTTAAAGAAAAAGTTGTTTTCTTATTATGTTAAGTAGGATTTAACATCTAGAGTCATTTTAAAAATTATATGCTAAGAAAAGAGCATAGTCAGGAATTCTGGATACAGTACACCGATGAAGGGTGGATTCGACCAAACAAGAGTAAATATTAATATCAGAGTAAATCGTCAGTTTTCACATATTTCCCATAATGAAACTGTCAATGTGCCAGTTATACCAGGAGTTATTCGGAAGGATCTATCATCTGAATATGAGCTTATTTTAAAAGTTATAAATAACTTGAAAAATTGAACTGCCTAAGGCGGGAATTGAACCCACGACCTTTCGCTTAAATTAGTTTGAGATGCAACTCTTATCGCTAAAAATTAAATAAACTATGAATATGAGCTTTACCTACGTCAGACATCGATGACACTCCATGACACCAATTGAATTTTGACAGTAAGGTTCAGCAGGTGATTCTATGGAGGCTACTAATTTCTTCTTTTCAATCACGTAATTAATCACTATTAAAATAAGTCGACATATTACGAAACCTGCCAGTCCACTCTTTATCTTAATCAGCAGATTTGAGATAGCAATACCTAAGCCGATACATGGACCTTACAATCGTCACGTTCATGAGCCAACCTCTTCCATAAACATACAAACACATATCGATAAAATTGTAGACTCGATATCGATAATGGTCGAAAAACATTACCCCCTTTTGACTTCTTCGAACCTGGGACCGGTTGTTTGACACACTGCGGGATTTCTCCACAGCAATGCGTGCGGATTGCTATGATTTTTATTAACTATATATTATTGCAGTTTTCTATTTTCAATCGTAATAATTATGTTTATTCATGAGGAGTCATGAAAGGTACGACAGGATGTTTGCGTTTTGGCCTCTGGTCTATGCATCTTAAACAGCAGTAAATATAAAATGAAGCAGCAAGACATACTTTGGTTTTTTTGGCTCTTTTCAGATCATAACACTGTGATATTTATATCCTAATATGCAAAGTTAAGCATACTTTTTACTAAAAACAATTGCTAGTCATGCAACCTTGAAAGTCCGGAGAATCGTAAAATACCGAAAAACCGTTACGAAAGCAAAGCGCGTAGGTGTCAATGGATGTTTCCATCTTCTTGACCAACGAGTTACTACGTTTCAAAATCAAAACAACAGATTACCGGCTTGATAGTTCATTTTGTTGCTTTGTGAACAGTTAATTCATCATGGAAGTCATTGGGGGAGGCCTATGTTCAGCAGTGGACGTCCTATGACTGAAATGATGATGATGATAATGAAGAAACAATTAAATGGCTACTGTCATTTTTGGACCTAAGTGCAATAAAACAGTTTATAATTGTAACATAGTGCTGACAAGCAGAAGTTTATGACAAATCGTATAAGTAATTAAGTGATTTTTAACTGCTAAAGTAAAACACAGATCCGCGAGTATCTTTTTTTAAGATCCAAAGAACAAAATAGAACCTAGTTACTGCAGTCCAATAAGACTGTCAAATTGGATGGAAACTTGATTCTGTGTCATCTCTATTTTGTTACTCAGAATCAAAGAACAGGTTTTAACGATTTTTTTCAGCGACCAACCAGAACGTATGTAGAGTCGAGACTAAACTAAAAAGTATTTCGTTAAAACAACTCACCGTGCTATTGATATGTCAGGCAATATTATAGCAGACCTGAAAAGAAAACACTTGAGTAAATAACACGAATCTGTGACATTCCTCCAACTGCTCGGTCTCTATATGACGCATGTCTGCGCAAGCACCTTATAACATACGTCATGACATATGACGAAGACAGACTGATGGAGATTGCTTCTTAGGGTACAGCCAGGCATGAATAAAAAGCTAGGGCCTAGACAAAATGACATTGGCGACCGTTAAAGTGCCGGAGCGAAGCGATTTCGGATTACATCTGTCATGTAATCATGTTCGGATCTGACTTCATGTCTAGGAGGGTGTAGTTTTAAACCCAGTACTAACCGAACAACATTCGGTTCCACTGCCCTAATTAAGTAGCTAGCCTGAAGAGACCTGTGATAGTTAGGTATTATCGGATTTTGTATTAACGGAATACGATTAACGGCTTATTTCCAGTCTAGACTCGACTAAGCAATAGGTATTCAGCCAATTTATAGGACATCAAACGCGCTCTATAGTGAAATAAAATAGGCTTTTCCAAGATCACTTCTTTATCAAGATGGTGGCAATTATAATGAAAAGCTTCCTAACCATTTATAAATAGGTTTAACTAAGAAATCCCAGAACTCTACAAGAGCTCGCATGAGTTTAAGTTCAATGCTAAACTGAACAATTAACAAAATATAGCTACGAAAGCCTACCAGAGATGAAAAACAATACGAATAATAAGACGAGAAGGTAATGCAAGAACGATTACAGTATGTACTACTTTCTTACCGGATATAGGTTTTTATGCATTTTCAATAAGACTCAGAAAACAAACAAAAAATTTAAACACAAAAACGAGAAATTACTGATTTTAAAACTAATGTGAATGTAGAAAACCAATCCAATTCGAAATAATTGGGTATTTCCCATTGATAGCTAACAAGCTTCCAGGCGTTTTTGTTCTCAAACTAATAATTAACACGTTTTTCGCAAATAATCTCTCTAATTGGACCGTAATTGTAAATTAAACAATCCAATCAAAAATGTTTTTCATAATTAATTTAATCTATGTCGTTACACACATCCAATTAAGTTTTATCCGCACTCATTAGCGAGAAAAGCTTGGCGTGGGAAATGTGTAACAAATAGGTACAGGTAGCTGGGACACCCTGACATAAAGGTGGCCAAGACGAATTTTCGATGTAGAGCACCTTTATTTTTGTAGTCAACATTTAAAAGATATCTCAGAGGACGTAGGTAGGACTCAATCAAGTAAGCAGATCCAATGTATGCGAAAATTAGAAATAGTTCTTGCAAATTAAAGAAATATGAGATTTAATGTTATAGGGAAATATCTCCATACAACGTAGAGCAAAGTAAAAAATTAAGTTACCCACCACATTGTAATTTTCATTATTATCTAACCTAGAAAAGTTGCAGGATGGCAGGTGGTGGTTACTCTATTGATAACACATAAATTAAAGACAATATGTAGCTGAATTAATATTAGTATAAGCTGATAGGTGGGTTCAGAATGATACAGCACTAAGATCACTTTAATCTAAAGAACCATTAGCAGGTGAGATAATTCTACCAACAAACTGACTTTTTGATGATCTTTCCTAAATCATTTCTTATCAGAATAGTTGTAATCATTATTGTTTCTATAATCACACGGATCTGTGTTAGTTTTGTAATGACTCAGAGTATTTAATACGTGGTGTATTTAAAAAACATGACAAAATAAATAATAAGACAGGACCAATTCATTGTTATTCAATATCTTAGCTGCAGCAGCTAAGCCCAGTATAGTTTGTTGTTCCAAATAAAGAGAAAAAAAAAGACCAGACTTGCTAAACGAACGTTTTGAAGAAGATGTCAACAAGTCATCAACCTATGTAAAACCTAACTACAAACTTAGAACGCAGTCCGGATCAACAGTGAACTGACACTTACCACACAGAGTAAACCAAAATCCCAAAACAATCGGATCTAATCACACACTTCCCTTTAATGTCCAGCATAAAGAGAGGTTAGTTCCTTCACAACACGGCACTACGCGGGTCGGGTCGCGCGGCTGGCGCGGGCGCACCGACGGCTGGGCACTGCGCACTGAGTCGGACACGCCTCCGTCTGGCGAGAGATGACGGACGCGCTTGCGCAACCAATCGAACTCGGATTTTGAATTAACGGAATACGATTAACGGTTTAATACTAAGCCCTTTTTTAGACTTTAACGCGGGTTGTAGACCAAGAGCTTAGTAAGTTTAGGAGTAGCTTAGCTCACATAGCTGGCGCTGTTATTCATGGTTGTGTGCACACTGCAAATTATACAAACACCATGGAAAACTTTTTTTTACTGTCAGGAAATTACATACCCACCAGCCACGGGGGCTGCTAGTGGGATATGTGGGGCTCTCCCTACCAGAAGGGTACCCACTAAAAACACTTGATTATTTACGCCATGAGCCATATGAATGGGGAACGCGTGACATCGCCATTGACTTTGGAAAACTGCATTAGCTTTGCGAGCTATACAAATTTAAACTAGCTTTGCTCTTGATCTGCATTATGAGCTGGTTAGAAAATTAAGTTTTACATGGTGCTAGACTGAATTTACAGTAAGAAATTTGAAGGTTCAGGATATAAGTACATACTGCGCACTGACACGCCTCCGTCTGGCCGAGAGGTGACGGACGCGCTTGCGCAACCAATCGAACTCGGATTTTGAATTAACGGAATACGATTAACGGTTTAAAATACTAAGCCCTTTCTAAAACAAGAGGTGGCTTTCAACAGGTATCTGAAAATTAAGCTTTACGAGATGCTAGACTGAATGTAGACAGGCTGCTGCTAAAGGGTGATTAAGAATTTGAAGATTTTTATCAAGATAATGGATTGTTTGATAAGAAACATTGCCACTTAACTTAATAACGCGTTGAACAATAGTTCTACATTTAGTAGAAAAATGACATATTAAAACTAGCGTGCAACGCGCGTTTTTTTGTGGTAAAGAGCATGATGTTTTTACTTCTAACTATGTTCTACTTTTGGTAGAGTCATCATGACAAACGTCTATGGGTGGTTGTGTTGACGATAGAGTCATGATGATTACAGCCCACACTGCTGAAGAAATGAATTACTGGCAAAACGATAATCTAGAAAATAAGTTATTGGAATTATCGCACCAACTATGGAAACTAGAGAATGGATACAAATACTTGTTTTATTCATACATTTGACTCTCTTTGCTAAACTCAAGAATATTGTTAACCCACTGTCGTAAGATCATAAATAATTTAATAATACTCAGTGAAATTGATTATTCAATTTTACATTATGAATTTTATTTATTCATCGATGTCTTCCAATGTTCCGATCCTGAAGGTCTATTAGAAATGTACAAGTAGGTATGGGCGACGATATATCAAGCTAAATACTAGCACCTTAAGTGGTTGTGTTATGAGCGATTTTGCAACAAAAATTTACTGTCTGATATGCTGTCAGATTTAATGACTACAGTATTGATACGATCATAATCATTCGTTCTTACCCTCTGGACACGTGGTCCGACTGCTTTGTCCGATCAATCGGACCACGTGAACTTTTTTTTCCTGTTGGTTCGATTAATCGGACTACAAGGAATCGCAATTCCACTTCGTCCGACTAATCGGACTTGAAATAAATTAAGGGTGGTATGCAACAAAATCGATCCATGGAAACTATTTCTCGTGTCAATTTCATATTAACTAGCAATGCGATGCTCTTTGGTCATAATAATAACAAGAGCTACCTCGTGAACGGCTTGGCATGGAAAGGTTCACTATTAAATAAATTTATAATAATAAATTTAAATCAATATTGATTTGAATAAATTAATACAAATTTGTAAAGGTATAAATATTTTTAATTAAAGATTGTTTCATTCAATGTAAAACGACCTCCTTTTAGTTCAATTCAAAGTTCAACTGAATTGAACTTTCAGGAAAAAAACCGTAAAGTCAACTTTCTTCAGTAATCTTTCAAGGAAGTTGAAATACACGGATTTTTTTTATAAACATTTCCTAAATGTTTATATTATTATAGATAAGTAGGTTATGTAGGTAGGTATTCATTTGTTTTCCAAATTTTCAATAGGGATGTTTCCTGGGTAAAAAGCAAGAGTTTTAATTAGTCCGTCAGTTAGCTTATCAAAAAATACTCGATACCTATTTTTCACTTTTTAAAACTAATGAAAATGTAAAGAGATAAAGCGTGCCAAAGTTCTAAGGAAAAGGCCCGTGACGTCAGTGAGTGCGTAAAAGTGCTGCACTTTGTGACGTCACGCGGAACTTCAACGCACTATAACTTTGAAATTATTTGTTTGATTGGCAATTAAATAATTCAAGTCCAATATTTTTTTATATTAAAATTGACGGACGAAAAAAATTTTTTTAGGAAACTAGCCTAAAAATCTATCAAAAATATTCAATAGATTTATTATAGTTGAATTTTTAGGAAAATATATTCCGTTTATTTCAAATTTCTAGAAAAATTATTGAATCTATGGATTTTTTTTCCTGAAAGTTCAACTCAGTAAAACTTTGGTTTGAACTAAAAGGAATAGGTCTGTTATAGTTTTTCAATCAAGAAAATGCAATTAAATAGTGTTGAGTTAATGAAATAATAAATGTATCTTTCTTTCTTTCTTTCAAATAGGTTGGGCGGTTAAATGTCGGACCATGTAACCTTAAGAACAGAAAGTCTTGATAGTCCGACTCCTTAATCGAATCAACAGGAAAAAAAAGTTCACGTGGTCCGATTAGTCGGACAAAGCAGTCGGACCACGTGTCCAGAGGGGCTAATCGCTACCAATTTGACATCGTACGTAACTGATGATTGTATTAACGTTCTCTAATTAAATCCTTATCAGTAAAATATAATAATTAATAATAATCATTTTAATTAGTAATTATAATCATAATAGAAGTGATTGTGCTGGTGCAGTGAATTTTAGTAGCTATACAGTAGTGTCCGACCGAAATTNGAATTTTTAAGCGGATTTTTTT